AGGCGTGGGAGCAACACCGAGGGTTGCGATCCCGTTGCCGGTCCCCGGTCCGGTACGGGGGCAACACTGAGGGTTGCGATCCGTTGCCAGACACGGAAAAAGACAAAAAGACAAAAAAAAAAAAATCTGTATGAGTCCTTAATTCTATCACGGGCTCCAGCTACTTGCTACACTAGGAATATTGCGTTTATTTCTCTTGAGACAATTTTATCCCTATAGTATATGGACTTCCTGGAATTTACAGAAGGACTTGCAGCCTTATTTTGTCCAGTTGGCCGTGCACACTGCATATGTTGTGTGAGTACCACATATGCAGACATGTGGATATTTTCAGTCCCTGTGCTCTATTTAGAGTTTGCAAGTCAGTTTGGTTGGAGCTAAAAAAATAACTTAAGAAGCATATTATTTTGTTTTGTTTTTTTCTTAGTACATTATCATGTCTTTCATTGTAACTTACATAGCCAAGTGATAATTTTTAAAGGGAAGAGAGGTAATTGTGTATTTGGCCAGTTGCAGAACCATGTAGTTATCAGTACATGCTAAGAAGAAAATGGGCATAAAATGTGTTATTCTTAGTGTAAGAAGATAAAGATACTATCCTTTATGAGGAAGACATGATCATAGAGTTTTTATTTGCTTGGTTATAATGGGAGAGCCGTAGTGTCAACGATTCTCTATGAAATAGTAGCAGTGGGTCATAGCAGGAAGTGAATGGTGGAATGAGACAGATCCGAGTTCAAAGCTTGGGTCAGCTCATTACTGACAGTGCACTGTTGAAAAGCATATTCTTTTTCCGTATTTACTTTCTGAACTATTAAATGAGAAATTCAATATCTACCTTTGATGTTGTCATTATGACTTAAATTTATAATTTATGTAAAGTAACCATGATAGTGATTAGCACATATCAGTTGCTCAAAATAGGGCATGTATTACTTCATTATTACTACCATGAAAATGGTGGTATTTTGTTGTTACTACCATGAAGCACTGTAAGATGGCAGGTTAAGAATGAGATTACTGTTTTTAAAATAGGATGTTACTGTATGCAAAACAAACTGTTCACCACAAGGATCAAATTTATGACATTGACATCACTGGCTTCATGTTCCAACTTCTAAGTCAGGAAGTCAACTCTTATATCCAGTCCTTTAAAAAATGTGCATTCTCAAATTGTGCCAGTTGGCTTATTTACTAAAAAAATCTAATCTCCAAGTCACTGGCTTTCTCTCTTCCTATGCCTTTGCTTTACATTTTTCTTCATCTCTGTCTTCTTTAAAATCAGTCTAACTCACCTGTCCTGTAAACCTTTTCAACTCAGTAATAGATAGGTGCTCTACATGTAACCATAAACTTAGATATAACTATTGCTTGTATTACTCAGAGGTACAACATCCCTTTGAGTGTACCTCTAAACTCAAACAGGAATTTATACATCTTTGCTTTGTTCTGTCTACTCTTCTTTTTTAACATCCTGAAATTTAAAATTTTCTCCAAGCACTTTACCAAATTTATTTGCTCAAAGATTAACAATGTCCTCTGATTGTGACATCCAATGGCCTGTTCTTAGTCACTTTTCTCCTTGATGTCTCCACAGATTTTGACACAGTTGACCAGCAGCTCTTCTTGAGATATTCTTACGCACAGGATACCACTACACCAAAACAAACCAGATCTCCTCCTTTTCATGATTAATCCTTTTATGTCTTGTTTTCTGACTTATTTTCTATCTCTGTTAAAAAACTATGACTGTCACCAAGGTTGAGTCCTTGAATTATCTTCTCTCTCAATTTTCTTCACTTACTCCCATGGTTTAAATTACTGTTTCTGCAAGGATGCCTGACAAGGGTACATAAATAGCCTGACTTTTCTCTAGAGTGCCAGATGTTCCAGAGCTCTTACTTGATATTTTCACTATGTGCAAACATAAATTTAAATTACATGAATTTAAATTTAAATATAAATTACAAAGCCGAACTTACCAAATTATTACTAAAACTAGATGATTCCAAGTTCCTGTAAATGATGGCCCCATTCTCATATAAGTAATAATAAAGCAATATATTCAATGTTTATTTTCTATCAGTTGCCAAGTTCAGAAGTTTCTTTCTTCGCAGTGCCTTCTGGATTTTTTAACTTAGCTGCTGCCACTTCTGGACCTCACCTTTAGCCTCATGGTGCTGTTATGCACAGCTGTGTCTCTGTTCATCCTGCGTATTGCTGTTAGACAAAGCCTCTCCAAACCAGGCTTGTGTTACCAATATTCTTGCTATAGAATGTTCAGTAGTTTCAAATTTATAAATTCATTTTACTGGGAGTGCATTTAAACTTTCTTTAATAGAACCACCTTCTTACATCTTATTTCATCACAACTATTTTCTCCAACTACTACTAAAAATACCTCTTTTCCCTTACTATTCTTTACATATAGTGAATTCATCCTGTATATTTACATACACACACATATATATACATGTATATATATTTACACACATATATACACATATCTATTTATATATATACATAGATATATATATCAATATATATATAGAGAGAGATATCAGAATCTTATTCATTCTCCAAAGAAAGTTCATCTATTTACATCTTTGTGCAAAAATACCTCTTTTCCCTTACTATTCTTTACATATAGTGAATTCATCCTGTATATTTACACACACACACATATATATACATGTATATATATTTACACACATATATACACATATCTATTTATATATATACATAGATATATATATCAATATATATAGAGAGAGAGATATCAGAATCTTATTCATTCTCCAAAGAAAGTTCATCTATTTACATCTTTGTGAAGCTCTCCTTTACCTATTAGAATTATTCTGTCTTCTGAATCATAGTGATTCTGCCTGATGTTAGTGTTTCTCAAATGTGAGTATATAACCATTTAAAAGGGAAAAAAAATCGCACCTCTGTGAATAAAAATAGCAGTGAACCTTTTAGTGGTGGTGAGATCATAGAAGGGGGTAGCTTAAGCAGCCCTGGTTTTTATTCTCTAGCATGGAATTAACCATATCATCTTGCATATTATCTTTTTAACATGATTTTTATAGCTTTATTTAACTCATATAAGGTATTTATGCCTTGTCTTTCCAATTCAATTATAAGCTCACTGAAGGCGGAGACCATCTTACCTTACTTCTGTGTACAAATAGTCACTGAGCATTTGTGTCTATTTTCATTGCCGCCTGTTTTGTTCATGCAACAAAATCATAGTGCTTTTATGTTTGGTGTTACTGAAAATGGTTTGCTGTTACTGACAATGTGCAAGTCAGTGGTTAATTAAATAAGCAGTGTTCTTGAAATGATGATTCTAAAGGCACATGCCTCTAATTCCAGCCACTGCCACAAGGTGGGGTATTTGCTACCTTTTGGTATATGCCAAATAACTATAAACATTTTAAGAAATTTGAATAATTAATAAACAGGAGACAACATTTGAATTCACTCTTGTGCCTTTCCTAAAGCTTTGAAATTATGCTTTTATCAGATACATGGATCTACACAGAAATACCAAGAAGAATATTAAGTATTATTTTGGTATAATTTAAAATCATAACTTTTCAGCCAAGCGTAGGCATTTGTTCTCTCTCTGTTCTCCCCTAAGTGAAATCTTGATTCTAACTTTTTTGCACATTCTCTCTTATTATCCTGCTTCATCTTATTTTATTTCACTTCAAACATTACATTGTTAACCTCTACTGAAAAAACCTTTCCTGAGAAACACCTAATTGTGTTTTTTATCTAGCTGTCTTAGGTCTTCAGAGGTGGCACTAGATTGTTTGGGGTAGCCTTACGCTTACTTGTCTCCAGCTCCAGTTTCAAAATCCTTTGTTAATCTGCTCAGTCTGTGTTGTCCTGTACTCAAATACTCCAGGCCAATGGTCCAGACCAGTTGTATTTTCTCCAGCTATTTCCTTCTTCCCCACACTTTCTAACTTAAAGGAGTTCCCAGAGCAAAATCTGAGGTGATTTGCTCTGTTCCAAAATCCACTGTGTTTCTAAGCAGGCTGTCCCATTGGGCTTTTTCTTTCCTCACAATTCATAAGGTTATCAGTAAGCTTTTGTACATAAAATACAATTGCCTATTTGTCCTCGGTAGTGCTGTAGATACAGCATCTTTCCAAGAAACTTCTTCACTTGAAATCATGGCAGCCTTTAAACATAAATGTTTTCTTTACTTAGGTATAGAAATATAGCAATAACCAAAACCAAAGGGGGAGGGAGGAAGGCAAGTCAATAAAGAAAAGAGATTTTGCAAGAACTCAGGTTGATTGCATGTTTTATTGACTCTTACAGGTTACATAGAAGTGCTGGTGATACCTGCTGGAGCAAGAAGAATCAGAGTTGTGGAGGAAAAGCCAGCACATAGTTATTTAGGTAACCTGTGTTACAGACACGAGATGATCCAAGTACAAGCCCAGCTCCCTGCCCTGCGAGTTCTGTGATGACAAGGGAGTCAATCTGTTTCTAGTTTCATGTTTGAACTTCCCAGGAAGCACCTCTTGTTATATCAAGTAGGAATTTCTTTCCTCCTCTCCCCAGGGACTTCTCAAGAGCAAAAGCAATCTGGTTGTCTATTTGTTTTGGGGGATTATAAATTATTTCCACATGTTAGTCCATGCTAAAAAAAAAAACAACCCTCATTGAATGATTTGGATATGTTTTATTTCATATATATATGTGTGTGCATATATAATGTTTTATAAATATATTTATTTCACATATACACTTGCATACATATACATAACAACCCTCATTGAATGATTTGGATATGTTTTATTTCATATATATATGTGCGTGCATATATAATGTTTTATAAATATATTTATTTCACATATACACTTGCATACATATACATATTAATTGCATGTATAAATGCTTATGTGTGTATATGTATAATGATTGTTTTAGAATTAGGAAATCTTGTGGGATTTTAAAACTTTTCTTGTGTACTAAAAGGACTTGACCTTTTAATGGAAAAGGGTTCTCTCTCTTGCCTTATTTCAGAAAAACTCACCTTTGAAAAGAGTATATTTAAATTTTTAAGTATTTCTTGTGGAAAGGACTGTATCAGTTAACTAGGTCAATTTAATAATTTTTTAAATACATGAAGGAAAACACTAATTATCAAAATACACTTGTAATCAAGATTCAATCTAATCTAGCTATGTGAAATGAAATTTGGTAGTCATGGCATCCACAGATAGAAGGATCTAATATGATTAAGTCAGGCAGAAGACTAAATATTGTTCTATAGTTTAATCATTGTGTTTACATCAACTTTATAAAAAGCTATGAAGCCTTTTTTTTCTTAACAAAAATAATGTTCTCATTATTCTTTCTCAAATGAGCAATAATGTCCCAATAGGGAAACCTTTTGTACATGGAAAACAATCACCTATCTTATGTGAATGTTTCTACTCTGCAATATTGAAAATAGTCTACATTCAGATTGAATTTTTTAAATTTTATTCGCGTTTGCTTTCTAGGAATAGGAAAATTTGAGGAAAAGTAACAGTAAAGAAATTCTTTATCATTTGACGCACTCATTAGTTTGTTATTACCAATATGTAAGTTTGATCTACTTTACCTACTATGGCTTTTAAGTGTCTTTTAAGTGTAAGTAGATCATCCCAGATTTTCAAATTTATTCATTTATTTTTTTTTATTGAAGCAGTGATTTTTAAAATAAAGCAGAACTAGAACATTTTAAGTTGTTAATCCTTTCTTTACAGGTTACTGAAACTACTTTTGATTAAGAACTTGATTGAAGCAGTGATTTTTAAAATAAAGAAAGCAGAACATTTTAAGTTGTTAATCCTTTCTTTACAGGTTACTGAAACTACTTTTGATTAAGAACACTGTAGAAAGGTAGTAACTGCCAGAAGTGAGTGCCATGCAGTGGCACCTGTTAATTTTCCAGAGTCCTGCTTTATGGAGTGTCTGAATGCACCGCTTGCGGTCTCTGCTCACACTTGCTGGAATTGATTGTGGCAGATTTTAATCCACAGGGCACTTTTCCCCATATTTCTTTTTAAACTCTTTAGCATTCTTACAGAATTTTTTACGGTCTTTAAAGTATTCTTCAGCTAGGTCAGCCCGAAGGGGGTGCTTGAGCTGGGGATCATTCACTAGTGCTATAAGGGACTGGATTACTTGGTCGGTTTTGGCTGCTGGCTTCCAGTTTTCAGCACTAATTACTGGCAGACAGACCTGCCCCTTTTCATCAACATTTGGATGATAGATCTTTGTTTTAAATGTGCTCTTCAGTGGTTTGAATGGGTATTCTGCTGGAAAGTTGATTTAGATTCTGAAGGCCCCCTTATCATATGGAGGGTTGTCAGGAACAATAAGCCCTTGCCAAGTCAATAAATTAGCTCCATCAACCTGGATGTTACGGAAGTTTTTCATTCCACATTCGTGGATTTCTTCAAGCTCCTCCATCAGCCTCCTGCTGGCTGCCATCTTGAATCTGGTGCTGCTGCTTTCCCCCAGATTTTCAAATTTAGATTAAAATTCTAACACCCAGTTTTTGGAGACATGGGGCATAATCCATACAATTTAAATACAGTATTCATTCAATAGCAGACAACTGGCTATTACACTTGGATATGTGTTTTCTTTTTTCTAAACTAGAAAGGGATATAGATGGCTTAAATGGAATTTTCTCGGTTCTACAAAATTTCAGATTGTACTGTGAGTTTGGGTAGCCTGATTTATGTGACTAAATAAACCAGCCAGTTTTACAGATGGGACATCTCTATGCTGTCACTGATCTCTTATTTCCCGGTCTTTCAACCAATTCAGTCTTGTTTCCTGTCTCCCTCTTTGTAACTGTCCTTTTTGAAGTCAGCAACTGCCCTCCATGTTGACAAAACCAATGGTAATGTGTTACTTGACCTGTAAATAGCATTTAAAACTGTTGACCTCTCCTTAGCTCATTAAATGCTTTCTTCTTTTGGCTTCTAAGCCTGTGACCTCCCCTACCTCACTGAATGCCCCTTACTGAGTGGTCTCATTTGTTGGGTTCTCAAACTTTTCATGGTCTTCAAATGTTCCCATACTGTAGGACTCAGGCCTGGGATCTGCTCTCTTTTCTGGGGAAAGTAAGGAATCGTATTTTTCTCCCTAGGGAATCATATCCAGCTCTATTGTATTGCTTTACAAGTTTATTTAATGTAAATTATCAAATGTCTCATAGGCACCTCAGAAATAAGTCCAAATCAAAAATTTGATTTCCACCCCATGCTGAAACCTATTCCTCCCTTAGTTTCCCCCACTACAGTAAATGTTACTGTATTAGTATCCTATGGCTGCTGTAACAGTTACCACAAACTTGGTTACTTAAAAGAACAAAAATGTATTCTTTTAAGGGTCTGAAGGTCAGATATCCTAAATCAGTTTCATTGGACCAAAAAATCAAAGTTTCTGCAGAACCACACTATCTCTGGAGACTCTAGAGGAACATCTATTCCTTGCCTCTCTGGTGGCTGCCAGCATCCTTTGCTTGTGGCCATATCACTCCAATATCTGCTTCCATGGTTTCATTACCTTCTCCTCTTTTTATGTGTTCAAATCTCTCTCTTTCTCCTTATAAGGATAAACGTGATTGCATTTAGGGCCCACCTGCATGATCCAGGATAATCTCTCCATTTTCAAGACACCTGCAGTCTTTTTTTTTAAATGTGCCATAGAAGGTAGCTATCTTAGTTTGTACAGGCTGCTATAACAGAGTTCTATATGGGTGCCTTATAAACCACAGAAATTTATTTCTCACTGTTGTGGAGGCTGGGACCACCTGCATGATCCAGGATAATCTCTCCATTTTCAAGATCCTTAACACCTGCAGTCTTTTTTTTTAAATGTGCCATAGAAGGTAGCTATCTTAGTTTGTACAGGCTGCTATAACAAAGTTCTATATGGGTGCCTTATAAACCACAGAAATTTATTTCTCACTGTTGTGGAGGCTGGGAAGTCCAAGATCAAGGTGTTGACAGATTTGGTGTCTGAGGGCACCTTTTTGCTGTGTCCCTACATAGTGGAAGGGACTAGCTAGCTTAAGGGCACTAATCACACTCATGAGGGTAGAGCCCTCATGATCACATCACCTCTAAAAAGGCCTCACCTTCTAACACCATAACCTTGGGGGTTAGAATTTCAAGGTATGGATTTGGGGGGTGGGGCACAAATATTCAGACCATAGCAGTTGCATTCATAGGTTCCAGGGATTAGAACATGGACATCTTTATTTTTTCCCTCAATGGCACATGTTTTTATTGTGATGAAATACACATAACAAAAAATTTACCATCTTAACTTTTTCAGTGTAAAGTTCAGTGGCATTAACTACCTTCATATCTCAGTGACATCTTTTGCAGAAATACCAAAAGCCATCCTAAAATTCATATGGAATCTCAAGTAACCATGAATAGTCAAACCAATCTGCAATAACTAAAACAGAATCTGGCACACAAGGAATAGTAAAGACTTTTTGAGAGAATTTTATTTAAGAAAAGATGCTTCATACTTGTATAATTGTTGGTATAGGCCAGTGCATACATATATCCATTAAATAAATTTTCACAACACCTCTATGAAGTAGGCACTACTGATTTACCAATTTTTAAAATCAGGGAATAAAGGAACAGAGAGTTTAAGTTTCTTGTCCAGGGTCACATGTCTAAGAAGCTGTGATCCTGGATTTGAACCCAAGGAGTCTGGCCATAGTGTCTTTGTTCTTAGGCACTGAACCACGCTGCCTCTTTTTCACTTTTTCCTTTTTTTTAATCATTGCCTTATATGCTCATGATTTTAAAGTCCATATCATATTTGAACACATTTTCCTTAAACTTCCTCCACATAGCCTCTTTTCTCTCCCTTTTGAACTAATGTGATCAATTTGTTACATAGCATTAACTCTGGAGGATATAAATCATGAAATGACTGTTTTCTAATCACTGCTACCCAGTTCTGCCAAATCCTATCTCCTTTCCCTATTACAGACCTCTAAACATAAATCACCTATCACTTTTTGTTATTAAGAGACCATTCAATTTAAAACTTGAATCACATATCTGTCTTAAGTGAGACAGACATGGCCTTCATTGCTGTCAGTTCTCTTGTGAGACTAAGTTAGCGGGGTTGTTTATTTGACTTAAAAAAAACCAGCATCTGTGCTCTTAAACAGCGTGAAAGCTACTCTGGAGATTAAATCAATGTTGAAAATACTAATATGTTACCGTGTTTATTCAAGAGCCCACTAAGTTTTTTTACTTGCTTAACAGAAAAAATTAATTATCCTGATGAATTAGTGGAAGGGTGCGAGAATGGAGGCAGAGAGACCAGTTGTGTAAACCAATAAAGAGAATAGGAATGGG